TTTTCTGTTTTTTCTTTTTATTAAGTTGACAAGTATGACAATGTTTAACAAAATTTCCGATATCTTCGCTAATATGAGGCCAATAATATTGAGGGGTGATTAAGTTAAGCATAATTTGAACTCCCGGGTGACCAAAATTTTCATGGGTTTTATTCAACAATTTTAATCTTAAAGATTTAGGTACTACAATTTTATAAAAATTCTTTTTCTTAATTACCATCATATCATTTATCTCTTGGTAATTTTTTCCGCAGACATTATCAGTTTTTTGTTGTTGGATTATTTCATTTCTATCAAGTAAATGTACATAATGTTGGAGGTGCTGTGAAACAGGATGTCTAGAAAGCATGTCAGCTTCAATATTGGTAGAGCCCTTCTGATACTTTACTTCATAATTGAACATACTTAGTTTGAGTGACCAACGGAAGAGTCTACCTTTTAAATTTTTAACATTTTTGAGCCAAACGAGGGCCGCATGGTCCGTATGTATAACAAATTTTTGTCCATGCAGATAGTAATAGAATTTGTCTAGGGCATCTACTATGGCCAAACATTCTAACTCAGTAATCGTATAATTTTTCTCATAATTTCTTAAAGTTCGGGAATGATATGATACAGGGTGAAGGACATCATTTTCATCTGGTTGTTTCAAAACAGCTCCAACAGCAGTTTGAGAAGCGTCAACAAAAATATGACATGGCCTACTGGAATCATACAATTGTAAAACAGGTTTGGAAATCAGTATTCTTTTCATTTCGTCGAAAGCTTTTTGACATTGGTCATCCCATTCCCACTTGACATCTTTTTTCAAGAGTCTGTTTAATGGAGCTCTAATAGTTGCATAATTCGGAATGAATCTATGATACACATTCACACTTCCCAAAACTCTTTGTAACTCTTTGGTGTTACTGGGGTTTTTAAGTTTCTTAATAACTTCTATATTATGGTTATCGGGAATTATTCTACCATTTTTTATTTCATAGCCAAGAAATGTGATCTGATCTCGGGCGAACACACATTTGTTTCGATTCAATTTAATATGCTCCTCTTTAAACACCTCAAATAAAATTTTTAAATGTTCTAAATGTTCCTTCTCAGAGGAAGAGTAAACGATTATATCATCAAAGTAACTGCAAGCGAAATTAATTTTATTTTTTGTTAATATTCGTCTAATTGTTCTGTTAAAAATTGCAGGAGCATTTTTGAAACCAAAAGGGAGTCTTAACCATTCGAATAATCCAAAATTCGTGCAAAAAGCTAATTTCTCAGTATCTGCAGGGTGAATCGGGATATGCCAGAAACCAGATCTCAAATCAATTGTAGAAAATACTTTTGCTTTACTTAATTTGTCTAACAAAGTGTCAATGCGAGGAAGAGGGTTTGCATCTGTTTTAGCCAGGGAATTCAATTTTCGATAATCTATACACAATCTAGTTTTTTTACCTTCCTCACGTTTAAGTACTAAAGTCACGGGGGACGAATATGGGCTACAACTTTCTTTAATTATACCTGCTTGTAATAATTGATCAATTTGGGTCTTAATTTCCTCTTCTTCCATAGGGGATGTTCTATAAGGTCTTAATGATACAGGCAAATCAGAATTTAAATTAATTCGTTGAGGTTCAATATTAATTTTTCCTACATCATACTTATTTTTAGAAAACACAGATGAATAATCATTTAACAATTTTTCCAAGTTATACTCTTTGTTATCGACAGTATTAGAAACAGCATTTTTCACATAAATGTTAGACTGAGAAACTAATTCCTTTGGATTTGTAGTCCGAGATTTACAGGTTGGAAAATTTCTTACATCATCATCATTATTATTAACACATGGATAAACATTTGTTGTACCACCTTGAAGTTGGAGGTGTAGAGATATGGGTCGGCTGTCAAAATGGCAGTCATCATTAAGTACAATAGCTCTCTGTTTAATTTTTAAATTAGTACAATCAATACTCAACTCAAATAATTTGCATTCATAAAGTCCTAAAATTACATAATTCAAATTATTATCAAGAACAAACAAGGTAATTTGTTTACTAATCCGTCCAATTTTCATTTGTATACAACATATTTTGTTGAAGATTATTTTTCCTTTAGTTTGGGTTACTGAAAATGATCTAACTCTTTGTACTTTTAAACGTAATTGTCTAGCTGTTTTGGAAGAAATTATTGATATGGTGGCACCACTGTCTACAACACACTCTAGACGTTTCTTATTGGACAAATATCCCGACACCTTTAATAGTCAACTACTGTGAGGGGTTTCTGGGGTTGGTTCTATTGCAAGGGGCGTAACATTAGGTGTATCAGATCTCTCCCCTCTGAAAGGACAAACCTGAAACCAGTGAAAAGCATTTGGGATTCCGTTCCGGGTGCAAAGTCTACAGGGACTGGGTGGCAATGGCAATCTATTTTGAGAATTATAATTATGATGGCTTGTAAATCCTGGACCACTGAACCGATTATAAAAATTACTTGGTCTCTGAAAACGTTGGAAATTGTTGGGTCTAGGAGAATCTTGTCTCACAGTAGCTGAAATTCTACTTCTATTAAATCGATTGTAATCTTGGGGACTGTTCTCAATCGGAGTAACAAATCTGGGAGGTGCACTTTTGATTTGTTGATTTTCTCTAATCTTAATAAGCTTATGGACATGAGTAAGCCAAGAGATGGGGTCAGAGGGTGCGTTGATCGTCATTAAGGATTTTAATTCTATAGGAAGGCCATCCGTCAGACCCTCCAAGATCATTTCATGAGTTAGATTTAATTTTTTACCAATATCTAATTTTTTGCGAAAATATTGCGTTATGTCCTCTTTATGATTGTACTTGTAAATTGGCAAAATCACCAAACATAGTTAAAGTGGGGTCGAAAAAATTTTCCTTTAAAATTTGGACTAATTCCACATATTTAGTAATTTTATGGCAGTTTTTGACATATACGCTAAGTGCATTACCTTTTAGATATTGAGCTACATTATTAAGCTTCCACGTTTCATCTTTATCTAAATGAGTTTCGTTAAAGTACTCAAGCCATGAATTTATATCCATATCATTCTGCGCGTCAAAGGGAATTATACTTGTTTCAGGTTCAGCGCTAGCTGCCCTTAATGAATCATCAGGATCAGAGAGGTTTTCATTAGCCATTATTCTTTTAATAATACTTTCATAAATAATAATACTTTATAAATAAAACTAATTCAAAAATAATACTCTTTAAATTTTTCCCAAAACAATATTAAAACCAAAATACATCCTTTAAATACCAAATTTAAAATACATTTATACCAAAATAATACTTTTTAAAATTTTCAAAATAAAAAACACTATTATTAAATCAGTAATTATAATTCAATAGTAATAATATCATTTGCATCGCCAATCTTTTTACTAATTGCTTCTGTTTGACTTATTGTGACGAGAATACGAGTGATGAAATCGACACGAAAATACACATTTTTTGTGCACTCTTGATTAGATTTTCGCAAACAAAACACGATCAATCACCACACAAGCACAAAGCTCTCGAGAGCAACACAGAACGGCGTAGACGTAGGGAAAGATTTCCATCCTCAAAAGTAGGTCAACGGTAAGAGCACATTTGATGAACGACGAACTTTCGATGGAAACACAGATCACGCATCACAGGGGGCAGAAGGATGCTTCTCTGGACGTAAAATAATCTGCAGAATACCAGAATACAGGTAACAGAAGGATGATTCTCTTGAAGCAAGAACGCCTAGCGAAAAATGTAGAAACATAGAAGTCGCACAGCGGCAAATTCATCTAAAGTGCGTAACATTTTATCCGTATAATCCTTGGGGTATTTTCTTTTTTAGATAATCCCTTTGAAGGTGGTATCCTACCGGCTTTCTGAAATGTAATTTCTCATACATTATTTGTTTTGTGCAGCCGGGGCAACAGGAATGAGACAAATTTTGGAATATAAAGTGGTAGGTTTATTTTAGCATCCATCTCGTAAGCGTTCTTCTCGTACCTCGAGCAGAAGCCCTACTTATACATATGTGTACGTCACGAAGCTCCTCCAATCAGCGATATTAATTGAAATCACGAGGTGACGCTATCTTCTCATCAGGAGTGTTCTTAAGTACTTTATGTAATATGACAGATTTATGAGTTTGGCGATTTGGCGGGCGCCAACAGGTTAATATATTTTATACTAAAGAAAGGATTTCGCCAAAATTTAGGAACAGGGATGCAATTTAGGTAGAGAATCGCCAACACATTATTAAACAATATTAATAGAATTTAATTTAATCAATTGATTTAAAAATATCATTACATATATATTTATGACATGTACGTTTACTCCATTAGAATAAATGAATAAATGTGAAGAGTGTGTTAAAGAAGAAAGCATGATCTATGGTGAAGCATATTCATGTAATTCAGAATAAGAACTTTTATCCTTGTATTATAAAACAATATACCTCATTTATTACTGCACTGAGACAGAAAATTTTTAATGGTATGTGATTGCTTTCATATATAATACAATTTTTAATTTAATATTTATGATTTGAAAACCTTTTTTACTGTGTAATTTCTTTAGCACGACATGTTTCCAGTTTAAGGTACATAAAACAATTTTTGATTAACTAATAAGGGATAAGGAATATTTGTAAGGAATTTTAGCTGAAAAAGCTTTGTATATATATGTATGTATATATGTTATTATTACTGTTAGTCAACTAATTTACGGTTTCAATTATAAAAGGAATTAAAAATTGTTGTTAACTGTTAGAACAATCTGCATGCAAAGCTACTTGCTCTGATATGCTAGAGAAAATAACGTAAAATGTTCTTTAACCAATTCTTCGGAACGGTATTTCCACCTGCCTCGGTTGGCCGCTACAGTTTCTCACGCATATTTCTGAAATAGAGTTCTTCCTTCTTTGTCACATTCCTGAAGCATTACATTTCCGGCATAACACTTCAATAGAGAAATAAATAACTTTCTTTTTAAGAGTCTAGGGACAGCGCGAACGCAGTCCCCGCTATCAAAAATTATGCACCCCATACAACCGCGATTTGCGGAAGAGGCGAACGTCAGCCTCTCGAAGTGCAGTGAGAAGCCTCTGTTCGGGGGTAGTCTTTTATTTGATCAAGGCATCCCCAGTGCTAGGTAAGTATGAAAAAGCTCACTTTGCAAAATTTGATCACTCAACGCTATTTATACCTCTAGTGGTGATAGTTTTGGGGTGGCTGGGGGAGAATGCCTGTGGAATTTGGCCTAGCCTCAAGATAGGAATTAGTGAGCTATTTGATCTGTGGATTCGTTTATGCTCCGTCACATTAATGATTTTGTGGAAATTTCACCAGGGTAATAACATTATTGGTAAATAAAACCTAAAAGTGATGTTCCTAAATTTCGCATTCATCTTAATACCTGGCTCTAATGAATTATTCAAGATAGATGAAGATTAATATTTTATTTTTCATTGTTAATTACCATAATTAGGGGACACATATCACTAAAGCAATTAATCAAATGGTAATTGGTGTTTGAATTGATAATAATAGGAGTCTCTAATGTATTCAGTTTTGCAAAGACACATGAGGCTTAAAAATCTGTAGAGGGTAATTCGGCTGAAACGGAAGAAAAAGAATTTTAACGTGGTAACACGTGAAAAATTCAGTGACATAGAGCTTTGTCCAGAAATACGTGGTCCAGAAATTTGTCAACTAATGCATCAATTCTGCACAATGTCACTGTCTTTTCATGTATCACGCAAGAGAATCAACATGGTAACACATCAGAAATGAGATAATATGCATCTTAGCTTTGTCCCGAAATAAGTAGATATCTGTATAATGGATTTGCCTTTGTATATGTCATGTTTTAAATCTTAAGTCAACCTTGAGACTAGAATGACCTAGAAACAAGTATTGTGACAACGACAGACATTTTCAATGTGCTTACAACTATCTCAGAGAAATAGACTGAACTAAAATAAATCGATTAACGGGGGTTCAATGAGCCAGTTTGGAAGTTTCTTCCTCGCACGACAGGATGGTTGGGAGACTGATGAGTGAGGCTTGTTAGATTCATTAAAGAGCTTCTTAGAAGATCTTCAGGAATAGCTATCACATAACTTATGTTATGACAGCTTACGTTACGACGAGTTTATGAGAATGATATGTGATTCTGAAAAAAATCATAAATTCTTGATCTAAACGTATCGATCGGAAGACATGTGAGATCTGATGCCATTAACTCTAGCTATATTCTTAATCGACAGACCGAACTCAGATATTGCAGAGTTTGATCCTAATATTTTATGGAACAAGTTTGGTCCTAATATTTTACGGAACAAAATAAAGCACCGTGTTACCAGATTTGAGATTACGCTTTAGAAAGGAATATTTAGGGCAACGTACTTAAAGATATCTACAAAATCCTCAAATATATCACATTAAAGTCGATGACATTATGCTAGTTGGAGAAGATTTCAAAACGCGCTTAGTTTAGGCTTTAACTAGAGGTATTGAATTATTTCCAGGTGAAATAGGTAAAGAACTGTGAAACTAAAAACAGAGTAAAATGTACTAAATCATGCTACTCAAAGAGTGTTTTCTCTACAGAATTTGCAGCCAAGACTTGTCCGTATACTCTGCTCCTAGAGCAGTTCTTTTTTAAAGTGACTGGTGAGCACAGTCGCCGGATTCAGATAATGATATCTCCAGAAAACCTCCAGAGAATGTGCCTCGTTCTCTCAAGAAACCGGAGAAATTGAACTTAACTTTGAAGTAACTATACGGCAACTGAATAGGGGGAAAGGATTTGTAGAATTTTACCCACCAGTCAACGAGAGTCAAGGACTGATGTTGCGTGATGATATGATAAGTTTGAATTCTTCACGAATGTAGACAGCTATATAACTTTTTGGGCAATTAGGTGTGGTTGAAAAACATTTGTATGCTAAATGTAAGTTTTCATGCAATTAAACTGTGTTTTGTTGTGTTACGCTATCTTATCATTGTTGTTGCTCATCACAGATCTTTCTCTCTCTCTCTGTTTATATATATTACTAGAAAGCCCGGCGGTCATACGAAATAACCGCTGTTCTAGATATTATAAATTGTAATTAAAATGATTTGTGCAAAGGTGCCTCCTAATTTAAACTGAATCACCCAGGGTAGACGGCGAGGACGCCCCTTTGCTTACTGCCCCACGGGATTGCCCCCCTTCTAATTGCTTAATTGCTTAGAGTGTAATGGAGGAAACCACTGGCGGTACATTTCTTAAGAAACCATCGCTGGCTCAATCAATAAAGATGATTTAAATAATGAAATGTTAACTCACATGTCAAAGATCTCTTTGTACACAACATTTCTTGTGTAGATCTTTCCATCATTTTTAAGCTCGCCTTGCAGAGGACCATCGATTATTTTTAATTTTACGTCCGTTCTTTCACGAACTCTTGAACAGGCAACATAAAGTTGACCGTGTCCAAATGCAGGCTCAGGTCAAAAAATGCCAACACGGTTAAGCGTTTGGCCCTAAGACATATGGATGGTCATAGCAAAGGCAAGTTTTGGAGGAACTTGTCTACGTCTTAATTGAAACTGCAACCCAACTTCACCCCATTGGCTAGTACAGTTACGCAAGCAACCAATAAACTATCGGCGACAAACAGGCACTTAAGCCATATATATATATACGGGCTTAACGAAGCACACCGTTGGATTCCGCAGGTCCGTGGCACGCCATTTTGACCATTCGCGTCTTCTTGGGACTTTAATTAGCCGAGATATTAATTAAAACCTAATTTTCCCTACGTTTTCCCTACATAATTCCACTTTCTTTCTTGGGTTTTCCCTATTACAGAGATTTGGCCAAGTGCCAAATTCTTTTTTCTGGAATGTCTAGGAACGGCGCCGAGTTGAAATTCGAGACACGTATCCTCGGATTCCATAAAATTCTCCGAATCCAACGATACCGTTCTCATCTTCGTACGACTTTAATCGGCCGAGATATTAATTAGAAACTGCGGAATCGTTAATTTCCGCGCTCATTTTTTCGAGTGGCAACAATAAACTATCGGCGACACACACTTTAGCCGCTTATATATATAAAGATATTGACATTGATACTGATAGTATTGAAGATATTGCATGTAAAAGACTTGAAATCAACGTTGTTGTATTTTTCTCATTGTAAGAAATTTGTTATCTTAAGCAAATGCATGGCAGATAAAATTTACACTGTTTCAGAAATAATGCTGTTTTTCCTGAGTAGATTTATCTAAACAAATAACAGGAATCTAGTATAAGAATAGTAGTAGTTTATTTAAATATAAATATCAGTTTAAAGTACAACAGTTTAACTGTTTTACATGTAGTATCATTTCCACATTTGTGCAAAATGATTCAGTAAGTGAGCAAAAATACTTTCACCAGTTATTCCAATATATGATTTTGAAATGTAATATCTTCTCTAGACGTGCCTACCAAATTTGGCATTTAGTTTTCGGATTCATTGGGGCATCTGACGGGCAGTTAAAATCCTCTGCAAACTCTGGCCGATTAGATATTGCTCCTATCACTCTGAAACGAAAGATATATATTAAATGTATTAGAGCAAAGCACGAATTCATTCTTTTACAATCTTGAAACGAAAGATACATATTAAATGTATTAGAGCAAAGCTCGAATTCATTCTTTTACAATCTTGAAACGAAAGATATATATTAAATGTATTAGACCAAAGCTCGAATTCATTCTTTTACAATCTTGAAACGAAAGATATACATTAAATGTATTAGAGAAGATATATATGACGAAAGATATGTACTTCTAAAGATCGAATTCCTTTTTTTATAATCTTAAAACGAAAGATATAGCATATTAAATGTATTAGAGCAAACCTCGAATTCATTCTTTTACAATCTTCTCCAAAAATTCCTTATTTGCTTTGAAATTATTAATTACTCAATGGAATTCATACATTAATTATTTAAGAAAAACAGAAATTTTTTATGTAATTAAATAAAATATGTGATATCTTCTTAAAAAATAACTGTTTCGTCACATGAAACACTCACAATATTCCTAAAACTTATTTCCTTGAGGATATAAAATATATATTGAACTTCATATGTAGCCTTGATATTACCGAATATATATAAAACAGTTTCGTGAAATTGGGAAGTGAGGAATAACAATGAACTGATAGGTACTCCTGATTCAGCTAAAGGGTGTTTTCAGGCGGTTTTATTGAGGGTACTGGCATAAAAATAGTGTTGATGAGTTAAGCACCGAAATTTTTCCTTTATTTACTTTCATCCATCCCTAGTTCATCTATGAGTTCAGCGGTAACAACAAAACATTAAACAGTGCATGCCCTTACTGTGTAATGTTTTAGGATGATACGTTTCCAGGTATATCAGGTTACAGAAATTAGCATGATATACCTGGAAACATGATATACCATGGATAAAATAACTTTTGATTAAGTAATAAGGGATAAGAAATATTTGTATACAAATATAAGGTATTTTAGCTGAAAAAGCTTTGTATATATATATGTATCTGTATGTAGAAATGTTATCATTATTGTTAGTCAACTAATTTACGATTTTAATTATAAAAGGAATTAAAAATTGTTGTTAACTGTTAGAACAATTTGCATGCAAAGCTACTTGCTCTGATATGCTAGAAAAAATAACGTAAAATGTTCTTTAACCAACTCTCCGTAACGGTATTTCCACCTGCCTCGAAAAATTACGCACCCCATACAACCGCCATTTGCGGAAGAGGCGAACGTCAGCCTCTCGAAGTGCAGTGGGAAGCCTCTGTTCGGGGGTAGTCTTTTATTTAATCAAGACATCCCCAGTGCTAGGTAAGTATAAGAAAGCTCGATTTGCAAAATTTGATCACTCAACGCTATTTATACCTCTAGTGGTGATAGTTTTGGGGTGGCTGGGGGAGAATGTCCGTGCAATTTTGGCCTAGCCTCAAGATGGGAATTAGTGAACGATTTGATCTGTGGATTCGTTTATGCTCCATCACGTTAATTACTCGTATGTTGTGGAAATTTCACCAGGGTAATAACATTATTGGTAAATAAAATCTAAAATTTATGTTCCTAAATGTCGCATTCATCTTAATACCTGGCTCTAATGAATTGTTCAAGATAGATGAAGACTATTTTTTCACTTTTCATTGTTAATTAACATAATTAGGGGAACATATCACTAAAGCAATATTCAAATGGTAATTGCTGTTGAAACTGATAATAATAGGCGTTTCCAATGTTTTGAATTTTGTAAAGACACATGACGCTTAAAAATCCGTAGAGGGAAATTTCGCTAAAATGGAAAATCACCGAATGTTAACGTGGTAACAAGTAAAAAATGTAATAACTGCAGCTTTGTCCAGAAAAACGTGCTCCAGAAATTTTCAAGAAATACATAGTTTGTGTGTGTTATACTATCTCTTCATTCCTGTTGCTTATGACAGGTCAATGTATGTATATATATGTATATATAATGTCGCAAAAAGTACTACACATACTGCAAATATCCTCTCATTAGACTAGAAGAGAAATACGCTAATGTGACAATCAAATTCGTAAAAACAACCTTGTATTTAGCGTAGGTATAATGAAACACTCAATCGATTTCGAGGGCAGCTAAAGGTCCCTCCTCATCAGGAGAAAGAAATACTTAGAAAGAAGAAAATAAAGGAGTCACAGAAACACGTGGTACTTATCAGCACTGCACGTGGTTAATAACTAGATTTTTAATCAGAGTTGCACTGGCCGCTTACTTTCACTGAGCCAGGCTATCTGATCAAGCATAAAGGACAAGAAAAAATTAGCGAAGTTAAAATAGGGAGTGAGGGGCAAATGCACCTTACGCTCAAAATTTGAACTTCAAATAAACTTATTTGATAAACTTCAAATAAATGATTTTGATCCTCTCATTAATCTACATAGTTTTAAAATTAGCAAAATAACAACATTGTGTTTCGTGTAGATTTTAGTCAAGACACTATTGATTTCGCGGGCAAACAAGTGCAGGTCTCTCTTCACCAAGAGTAAAGAAATCTGCAACGAAGGAGAGCCCGGATGTATTTAGACCCAACAGGGGCAAAGTTAAAGACAAGGTAGCGCAATCCGTGGGAAGAACTAGTGAAAGAGATTGAAAAATTCAGTTACTAGGATTTCAAAATGATAAGGAGGTATTGGATTGGATTCAAAGCCGAAAGTAAACAAGATAAGTCTGCGTGAACATGAAAAGCTTTAAGAAAATGCACTTAGCCAATGAAAGATGTTTTTAGATAATTTTTGCAAACAAAAAGGTCAAAATTATGATTAAATTTTCAACTGTGATTAGCTATCAAATACTCGTTAATTTCCCTTCGAATCGAAACCCTTGTTAATTTAATTCTTAAGAAATTTATAGGATATCTTGCCAGTACGGTTTAAAATATATCGGCCAAGCCGAAACAGTATTAAGTATTCGTATCAAGGCACACGAAACTTATTTCAGAAAAGGCGATATTAACAAGTCTTCGATAGCTTATCATAGTTGCAAATTTAATCACAATTTTGACTTTAGGTCTGCAAAAATTATCCAAAACATTTTTTACATTGATGAATGAGATTTTCTTTAAGTTTTCAGGTTCACAAAGATTAATCTAGTTCAGTTAATTTTAATCCAGTTCTTCCCAACGCTTTTAAAATTCCATTAAAATAATTATTCCATTTTCGTTACTATTTCTCCCAAAAGATGGCGTTACTTCTCATTCGCTTTACTCCTGTTGGGTATAAATACAACCTTTGTCTTTTCCTCCGTTGCTTTTCTTTGCTTCTAATAAAAAATCTGATGTGTACACCACATTACTTCCTTGTATTGGAATATTTATTTGGAATATTAAATTATACGCATTTCTTCTTGCATTTCATTTAAACTTATTGGATTGAATTAAATCTACTTCGCCGACAGCGCATAAACCACAATGGAATAAATAAATTCTTTAAAATTCACTCTAGTATTTGTTTACCATAGCGACACTCTGGCGCTAGATTCACTTAACTTATATAATAATTATATAACGGAAACTAAGTTAACTGTTATATAATCCAATAATTATATAAAAGTTAACTTATATATTTCGTTCATATTATAACTCATAATGCACAAAAATTTATATCATTTAAAGAATAGAATTATCTAATCGTTGCCACATGTTCTCTTCAAATACTATAATAAAGCTAGAATGATGTATAAAAGAAATTAAGCAAAGAAACAGTTTTTCACAGACGATTGAGTATTTCTCATTTAATTAATTCAATTCTCACTTCGCGAGAAGGCAAAAATACATAAGAACTCAAAATATCTATATTAAAAATTACGAAGTAAATCTCAAACACTTATTTCCTCGAAAAAATTCAAGAAAGAATTAAGCATGATTTAATTGGCAATAATAAATGAATGCGTTATCTTTGTTGTTGCGAAGCTAAGTTTCTCTAGATTGGCAACAAATCTACTAGTCTCCTGTTTCAAATGTAAACATCAATGGCCGCCATTAATAAAGGCTTAGCGGCAATTAAACAACTTTAAAATTGCTGATAATTCTAAAAATATTGCACACAGATTTACTAAAGACATAAAATCCTTAACCGGAAGATAAAAAAACATTATTCAATCATTTTTAAAGCAAAAAATGTACAATTTACAAACATATAAGAGTAAAGAAACTGAGATCACTGAGCCAGGTAACAGAGTGGATATATATATATAAAATATATTTATATAGGTTTGGTGCGGCCGATTGCAACCAAAATACGAGGTGCACATCTACATGTTATAGCAGTCCCATATACAAAATTTCAACGTTCTGAGGCTACTCGTTTTTGAGTTATGCGAGATACGTACATACGTTCGTACAGACGTCACGAAAAATTCTCTTCAGAATTAATTTTAAAGCAGTTTTATAATTTTTTTGAAGGAAAAGAGTATTTTATTCTATCCTTACGTACAGATATCACGCAAAAACATCGTTAAATTGCATTCGATAGCGGTCAAAATGGATATTTTCGTTGAAATATGCTGCCTGAAACTTTTCGCGATTACAATACTTCCTTTTTACTTCGTACAAGGAAGTAAAAAGGATTTGTACCTGTTTACCCTCGAAATCGAGAAATGATTAAATGTACGCCAAACATAAGCTTGATACTTGTGTAACTGAATAGCTATTTTCTATATTTGTGTGTGAGATAGGGCGGTAAATTTTGATCGCCATCGTTACCTTTTTGTTTTAGTAAACCATACAGTAACACACAAACATTCCTCTTATTTTAAAAATTATTCTCAAATTTTACTTACCTATATTTCAAAGGTAAATATGTGTCATCTCTGAAACTTTGCTGGAGGTAGTTATCTGTTTGTTTCTCGCACAGTACCTGAAACAGTTTAAAATGAATGCATCTACAATTGTTCCTTCTTTCATTAATATAGTAGTTACGCCATTAAATAAATAAATAAAATGGCTATTTATTGATCTTAATAGACATTACAAGTGATATAATTATATGAATGAAATAAGAATTAATCATGTAATCCATTTTAAGATATAACTGATTTTTGTTATGATTATAAAAACACTTAAAAAACATGTAATACTGCTTCATTTTATTTCATTATTATTTAGATCCTAAAATTAATATTTTAAATGTCATTCCTTCTTTTATTTTGAATGTACTCTGCTTTAATAATAAACGAATTCTGCTACGGAAAACGTCAAGACATTGGAAATTGTTTTATTTTTAGCTGTTAAGCAATCAACTAAACATAAATATTCATTAATCTTAACTGAAAACATGACATAAAGCATTGAAAGTAGAAATGTTATAGAAGGAATAATTATATAAGAAAATAACAATTAAATGAGATCTTGAAGTCATAAGCAGGCTCATGTACTAATATTTGTTAAAATGTATAAATTAAAAACGTACATAATTTGAATTCTATGAAAAAAAACTATTGTTAATTTTGTAATATTTTGAAATAAAGTAAAGCAATTTACTTCAAGTAAAATAAAATAAAGCAATTTACTTCTGCAAATTACTACTACTATAGGTTATTCTACTTATTCTGGTATAACAATTTCCACTTCATAGCAAAAAGTATGTACCAGTTCAACAGCATCACAATTTCGATTTTCCAGTACGACAGTGAAGAATTCCTACTGTTCTCAAATCAGATCTTAACAATGTTGTATTTTTTTAACTTTCTAAAATTTTATAATTATTTCAATTTAAGAAGTTGCTCATACTTCTAAATGCGCTGTAATACCTTCTAATAATAAGTTCCAGATAATAAGCTGAATTTCATGACTTATCTGCAAAGGAAAAATTCAGAAACGGAACGATATTTATTTATTCTTTAAGGCTTATCATGAATGGTAATCTCTTTTTAAAATACAAAACAAGCTGCAATGAACAAATAAATTAGAGAGTTAATCACAGAATTAGAAATGAGAATAAGATTTGATTAATAAACTTAAACCTAATTACACATTTTGCGGTGACGCAATGTCGTTGCCACAGATATATATCATAATATTTTTTAGAAATTTTCCCCCTCAAATACTGCGATATTAAGTTTCTAGTATTCTCCACTACTGATTAAATAAAACCATTCTTCAGCAGAGATAAAAATATCAGTATGAAAAATATAAGTTAGAGAACAAATTAATTAACCATAGAATAACAAATGAGAACAAAATTTGATTAATAAACTAAACGGTTACATTTTAAAATTGTTTCATAGTGATGCAATGTCTTTGTCATTGATAAATATAATAACATACTTTCAGAAATTCTTCCAAGCTACTAAGATATTAAGTCTCAAATATTCTCGACTCTTGATTAAACAGTACAATTCTTTAGCAGAGATAATAATATAAATATAAAAAATATTACTTAGAGAACTAATCATAGAGTTACAAATTAGAAAATGATTTGGTTAATAAACATAAAATTCTTGCACATTTTATGGTGACGTAAAGTCTTTGCCATTAATAAATATTATAATATTTTTCAGAAATTGTGTCCAGCTACTAAGATGCTATATCTCTGATATTCTCTATTATTGAGTATATAGAGTCATTCATCGGCAAAGATAAAATATATCAAAGATAGCAAAGATAGATATACAGCAAGATAGATATAAAACAAAATAAATATAAAACATAAGCAAAGATAGATATAAAACAAAATAAATATAAAACATAAGCAAAGATAGATATAAAACAAAATAAATATAAAACATAAGCAAAGATAGATATAAAACAAGACAAATATAAAACATAAGCAAAGATAGATATAAAACCAGATAAATATAAAACATAAGCAAAGATAAATATAAAGATAAATATAAAACATATAAATTAGATAACTAACCGTTGAACTACAATGAGAATTAGATTTGGTTAAAAAGTAAGTTAGAAAACTAATAACAGTTGAGAATTAGATTTGGTCATAAACGTAAATGTAGCATTCTTGCATATATTGTGGTGACGCAATGTCTTTCCTAAATATAAATACGATAATATTTTTCAGAATTTGTGCCTATCTACTAAGATAATATATGCCTCTATTTTTTATTATTGATTAATGAAAACAACTTTTCAGCAGAGATAAAACATTATCTCTCAATAAATTTTCCCAATTGGTATTTATTATCGCAGCTGGAATAAACGCAAAATGTTCTAAGACGTTAGAAAATGGGTTTTATTAAGCTTAATATTCATTTTCAAGATGAAGCACAATCTATAAAGAAGAGTAAATTATTGGATCAGTACCATTTTCCACAGTAATGACAGTTCGTATTCAGGTATTGTTAATAACACAAAGAACAATCACAAGCATCAATAATAATAATTTAGCCGCCCAGACGGTATAGTGGTTAGGGAACCCTGACTACCATACAGAAGGTCCTGGGTTTGAATCCTGGAGAAGGCACGGTTGTAACTATCCGTCCCCTTCATAGGAGGTGATGGTGGCCCGCCTATTAGGTGCCTCCATAATAAAGAGACCGCAGCATCTGGCCTTGAATACATTAATGGACTGTGTTACACTGTAGCTGTTCACAATCTGCCATTGAGGGGAAAAAATAAATAACTGCAATTGTGTCGGTTTGATTTAGACGCAAACTCGTTGGTCCAGAAAAGTATTTCTCAGAAACAGTTAATCACTATGTATATTGCCAAATAACCTTTCACAAAACTTCGCTGACCAATCTAGTTTATCTTTACTAAGAACAATGGCTATTCTTACATGTTCAGATTTCTGACCGCGCTTGCAATACAGATTTTGTTTTTCTGCCCCAGGGATATTTTTTCATTAAACGGCTTCGCTTTGTAATGCTTGTTAGCGTTCATTGTCTTCCGCAATGTTTGTTAAGGAACTTGTGAACAAATCCTTTTGCTTCATTTGAGTAAAGGTAAATGCATACGCAGGTATGAACCCTCTACGTAAATTCCTTATTGTCTTCGTACTTCAGCTGCGTTTTCAAATTCATTTGTGCTTTAGGCGCCATTTTCTATGTTTGAAGCTTAGTCTGGTTCTATTCATTACTTCAAATACACTCATGTCCATAAATTAAGGATAATTCGGAGTCACGCGGAAATCGAACTCTAAAATAAATATATCACCTGTAAAATCACTATACACATCTTAAAGAATCATATGCAAATTTCAGGAAGTAACCAGATGACACAGATGGTACGTCACAATGACGAGAGTGTAAGAGAGTGATTTATAAGGAAAACAGTCAAAGAAGTAAAATTGTTCGCAGGCGCTTTATAAGCATTTCAGTGCAATAACCGAATAGTTATGACACAAAGGACGCATTTGGATGGTGTTTTACAGGGTAGAATTATCGGCCGTCTGCAATGTGGGCGTACACAACTGGAAGTATCAGACGAACTTGGAATTGCCCAGAGTGTCATCTCCAGGCTTTGGCAACGATTCCAAGATGATGGTAATGTGAGTAGACGTTACAGCACAGGTCGCCCCAGAGTTACAACGCCGAATGAGGACCGGTATTTGGCAGTTACTGCACAAAAGAAACAGGCGGAGCACAGCCTCAGACCTGTCTCGTCAGCTCTCTTCAGCCACTGGTACGACAATTTCAAGGCAGACCGTGTACAGACGCTTAGGGCAGATTGGTCTATATGCTCGTAGACCTGTCAGATGCGTTCCACTTACTGCAACTCACTGTCGCGTGCGGTTAGCCTGGAGTAGAGAGCATGCATTGTGGACACCGCAACAGTGGGCTTGTGTGATGTTATCCGACATCCAGGTTTAGCTTGCAGTCTGATTCTCGCCGGACGTTCATACGGAGAGCTCCAGGTACCAGTTACCACCAAGAAAACATCATTGAACGACACCGTTTCGGTAGTGCAGGAGTACTCGTTTGGGGCGGAATTATTCTGGGTTCCAGAACTGACCTGCATGTTCAAATTGGAGCCATGACAAGCCTAATCTATCCTGACGTCATTCTGGATCAACATGTACGTTTGTTTCGGGGCGCCATGGGTGCACAATTTGTGTTTATGGATGAAAACGCCCGTCCTCACCGTGCAAACATCGTAAGCGAATGCCTTCAATCGGAGGATATCACCCGTATGGACTGGCCAGCATTCTCACCGGACTTGAATCCAGTAGAGCACGTGTGATACATGCTTGGCCGACGAGTTGCAGCCCGTCAAACTCCTCCTACATGTCTACCGGAACTTCGGAGAGCATTGCTTTTTGAGTGGTGTAATATCCCCCAAGATCAGATCGATAATTTGATACTCAGCATGCTTAGGCGTTGTACGGACTGTATTGCATCGTCTGGGAGACATACAATGTATTAACAATCATGCCAACCATGTAATATTGGTTTTTTGTAAATAGGTTTTTTTTTGTAATTTGCTCCAGGGAGAAAAAATCGCTAATTTTTTAAATAGTATCAAACATATAGCATCTTTTTTTACTCTTTACCTTTTGTTTAATAAATAAGCTTTACAAATAAGTCAAATTTGTTTTGCTTCTAAATCTTCCTTTGCCTGATTTTGCATTATCCTTAATTTATGGCCATGAGTGTATTTAACTTAAGGACCTTTTTCAAAAGGCAGATTTTGGCTAAAAATCTCAAATATTTTTTATTTCACATTTTTAAAGGCCACACTGTTAGTCATCGAAAACAACTTTTCTTTTCTTGATATGTTTATTAGAAGTAGAGATATACCACTTCTTCTGAGAGAGGACAAACCGGAAGTTATGTTTGCGCCAGCAGAAGTGGAAGTTTAAATGGCAAATTAAAAATACAATTTTCGCCCTTTTTAATGTTATTTGTTAGCCAAATAATTTTAAACATTTCAATTAGTTTGCAGTGTCAGTGATGGTTGATTTTGATCTTTATTTTTCTTTAATTTCGAAGTAATATTTTCAGTTTTTGCATAAATTTCACAAAAAATGAATTTTTTATCACTTTTCTATGATTATATTTAAGTGTAATTGCAACCGAGTACACAATCTCTTAAATTCAGAACTGTAACAAACATTTTGAAAAAGCCTCTTGAACGAGATTCCAGTAATTTTAAAATGAGTTATCGACTATTAAAGCGTGCATACATATCTCAGAGTACCTTATAAGAAAGTGAAACTGTCAGGCATTATTAAAGTAATTTATTGGCTTCAACAACGCATGCGTGCTGCATTTTTGAAAAATATTTTCCAGGAATGTATAAAACCATTACTCATAGCAGTCTTTTTCGAGAATATGTCTACACAAATAACTCGTTTTTTAGCCTTATCAATGGTTAAAATTTTTCATGGGAAATGCCCATCGAATCAAAAGCCACAGTGTTTAATTATTACAAAATGAGCTGAGGTACACACACACACACACAAAATTGAAACAGTATAAAGTAAGGATAGCATATTATTGTTTCTCTGGTCATTTTAGTGAGGATAAATATTACATTAGCTACATTCTAAAATCCTCAATTCAATGGAATTATATGATAAAATAGGCTAATTTTTCCATACATTAAATTTTTTTAGAAGTGTTGATTCACTAGGCATAATTTGATTTGGTTTATTTGATTATGGCAAAGCACTCGAGAGCTATCTGCCTAATGGAAGAGATGCCTTTGTGGAGGACTGTCTAAAGGGAACTGGTTCGTATACAGTTGATACCATAGGACAGAATATAATTAAAAACTTCTAACAGCGGCAGAAACACGCCAGTGTTAAACTTAAAACTAGAGGGGAAGAAAAAAAAATTTTTTTTAATCTGAAAGTGCTTAGATTTTAAAGGTAGCCCAAACGGGTTTGTTCAAGTTTTTTTAATGCTTTGACTGAGCTTGAAGTCTACCAGTCTGTATTCCCTTCTACTAACCCATTTCTTTTTGTCTTTTCAGCTTTATTAATAAGCAAAATTTTCTTCGCATTCACGCCATACAGAATTCCAAAGCAAAATTACAAAAATTTTAAGAGCGGCATATGTTTTAGAATTCCTGAATAGTATTAAGGATTGGAATGCCTTTTTCTATTTTTTTCAGTCTTTTCTCAATTTACCGTCTATATTCAGTCTTTAGTTACCGTCTATATTCAGTTTTCTTAATAAGATGGCTTGCAAAATGTTTTTCTTTTTATTATCAACGTTCTGTGTGTTAAATGTATTAATTTCACCTTACGCCACATAAAACTGAACTCAACAGTAAAGTCGCAATGTATTTAAAAACAGCATATATTTAGAATTTAAGATATACCGTCTCGCTCGCTGAAGATAAAAATGTTTTATTCCGTGCAGTAGTTTCCTTCGCGCTTCCAAATTCTTATTAATAACACTTTGCTCGACATCGTTAAAAAATTTCAGAAATGCTTTTCAAAATATAAAATATAAAATTCAAAATTTGAACTTCCAGGTGCACATGCTCGCGTGCAGGACTACGTTATTCAAAATGTCATGGCTTTAGTTATCGTCTTTTTTTCACAATGCGAGGAACTTAACACATATATGCAGGTTCTTTATTATTTAATTTCTTTAAAAATAATGCAGGGCTATAATATTTGGCGGTAACAGTTTGAAAAGTGCAACAACCATTTATTGCGGACGATGCAAAATCTTGTTTCGTGTGTGTGTGTGTGTGTATGTGTGTATTTAATTATGGCAAAGCGCACTAGGGCTATCTGCCTAATGGGAGGGATGCCTTCGTGGAGGACTTTCTAAGGGAAACTGGCTCGTATACACGTTACACATGGGGAAAACCACGAAAACGCCCATGCAGCCAGCCCGTTCGCGGGATTCGAACCTCGGACCGAACTACCAGTGTTCAGCGTCTTTACCGCTCGGCCGCTGGTGGGCTCTTGTTTCGAGACTAATAGCTTATTTGGCCTAACGCCTTTTCGGCTAAATAGGCAGGGCCAGAAAGCTGAAATTGACTTAGATACTGCAAAGTTGTTTGTTTATCTCGGACTAAACAGATTCTAGATCACTAGAATTCATCTATATTACAAACTCCAGACCTCAAGTTTATTATTATAAGACTTTGTAACAGTAAAACTATAACCATTCTTCAGTATTATCAAAATTGTTGCAAAGCTAAATATCATTTTTCTTTCAAAAATGAAAATTGTGGTTCCGTTTTAGTTATGCACATTATTTAAATAGGTTTCGATATGTGCGTAATATGGCTATGATTTAGAATGCATACTTTCAATTTTTCCTGAAATAACTCTAAATTAAGCTTTAGTGCTGTGAAACCCACCAGCCGCAGAGAGCTCAAATCGCTAGTATTTCAATCGGGTTTCAAATATCAGCGAATAGGTAAAGCTGCATAGGTTACCTTGGTGATTTTTCTCCCTGCAACGTGAGGGTTGAGTTATCTGAATTATGGGAAAGCACGCGTATCTACCTAAAGGAAAAAGGGAAAGATGTCTTCGTGGAGGAATACTTTAAGAGAAAATGGCCAGTATTTATGTCATTAACGGGAAAAACCATGATCCCCTCCATGCAGTCACTTTCTTCTTCGGGATTAAAAATCGGATCAAACCAGCGTTCAGCAGTTTTGCCACTCATTTAAGGGTGGGTCTACCATGTGCATCTTAAATACAAACACGTTTGCTTAGCAGCTTTTCTGTGAAGGCGACCCTTTTCTTAGCCGTCTGCTTTAACACAAACTAAATAATCGAAGCGAAAAATTACATGTCCTGCAGCTTATGTCTAGCCATTTATGACTGCGAACTTACGTTTGCTGCACTTATCCAGAACAATTGTTTTGGTGTGTACTTCAATCCTGGAAGCTTTTTCTCTTTTTTTTGATTTGGCCAGTCCGTGTCATTTAACCAGAGATTATATGCCTGTAAAAAATAAAGGAAAAAAAAATGTTTTATTAGTGAATCTAATAAATTAAAACTCGGCAATGAATTTGGTTATAACAGCTGATAATTAACGTAACCAGTACCCATCTATGGTTCTTTAGCAAAATTACACGATATATAAAGTGTTTATTCTAATTTATTAAAATTAATCATTTATTTTATTTAATTAACATACAGTAATTGACGATCAACCGAAAAGATATCCGTACGTAACTCGCAAATAGAAATCGAAAAGAAATATCCCACAGAAGGTTTTTTACACATTTTTAGAACGACTTCCAAGTCGTTAAAGAGTATGTTTTGAAATTTTATCTTAATTTTATCTTAATTAAGTATCCAAAATTGAATATAAATTACATGAATGATATTGATGACTTTAATAAAGAACTGAGAAAAGCATGGGAAGAAATATCCTGAAATTCATGGGTCATAGAAATTTTATAAGATCTGTATGCTGATCAGAAATATAGTAATTAATATCCAGCATAAAATGATATTGCAGGTTTAACTATAAACGGCATTAAAAGATTTAGAAATGCTTCGGTGGTGTATTTAATTACTGCAAAGCACACTAGGGCTATCTGCCTAAGGGAAGGGATGCCTTCGTGGAGGACTTTATAAGGGAAACTGGTTCGTATACACGTTACACATGGGGAAAACCACGAAAACACCCACGCAGCCAGCCCGTTCGCGGGATTCGAACCTCGGACCGAACTACCAGTGTTTAGCGACTTTACCGCTCGGCCGCTGTAAAATGCTTCGGAATATATGATCTGAATGCGTGTTAACAAACTGGATTAGACAAAAGGAGGAGTAAGATTTTACAAGCAAAATATTATTGCTTGATTCAATGAATGTTTTAAATCTTCTTCGCCATCATTATCATATTACAGGACATGCAGATATTCTGGACATTTAAAATCCAATAAAGGAAAATGTTTGGCCACTAAAAGGCTGTAAAAGGATTGAAACAGTTGTTTGTGACTGTAATATACATAAAATAAATTGGTTTCAAAAATTAAGGAAAAACCCAAAAGATAGCGATAACTCGTTCACAAATAAGCCAATTCGTATAAAATTTGAATATATTGTCAAATAGGTTCTTGAGTAAAACTGCAGTATGCAAATTAGTAGTGCGTCATCTGCGATAAGCATAAAATTGAAAATTTGAGAGCAAGCCTGCAAATTTCGCTGTGATACTGAGATAAGAAATCTGGGAGTACCAATTCGTAACAATGACTTTTAGGCATCATTTGCTCGAAGACATGCAAAAGATAGCTATTGGGAGACTAGACGCAGGACAAAGTCAGACAGAAGTGGTCAGATGCCTAAATGTGAGTCTTCTGTAGGTCATAGACTTTGACAACAATTTCTAACCACAGATTCGGCATCCAGAAGGCTCAACTAAGGACAGCCAGCAGCTACGACGAGCACCTATGATCGATATTGGTTGCTATGCGCACGAAGGAATTGAAGGTAATTTTTTTATACCAAACTGACACACCCTACTTGTTTATTTTATAAATATGCTAATTTCTATAGTACTATAATTTTTTGGTAATTTCTTTTGGTCTTATTTTATACCTTACCACATATTGCATGAGTCAGTTTCATTAAATTCTACAGGTAACGGCCCACCAGCGGCCGAGCGGTAAAGTCGCTGAACACTGGTAGTTCGGTCCGAGGTTCGAATCCCGCGAACCGGCTGGCTGCGTGGGTGTTTTCGCGGTTTTCCCCATGTGTAACGTGTGTACGAGCCAGTTCTCCTTAGAAAACCCTTCCTTTAGGCAGATAGCCCTAGTGTGCTTTGTCATAATTTAATAAACCAAAACCTCTTGACGAAACCAGTCTTTCCTTTTATCTCATATCTTCGAAATGCCTAGCCTCTAAAGACATAAAGGCTCTGATGGAATGGATTGAATTGGATTATTAAGTTACAGCAAAGCAGGGCTATCTGCCTAAAAGGAAGGATGCCTTCGTGAAGAAATTTCTAAGGGAAACCAGCTGGCATACACGTCACACATGAGAAAATCTACGAAAACGGCCATGCAACCAGCCCGTTTACCGGGATTCGAATTCCGGAGTCAACTACCAGTGTTCAGCGACTTTACCGCTCGGCTGTTTGTGGACCTTTATGAAATGGAAGGCGATAACTTTATTTAAAATGATTGTTTCGAAAAGTTGGATGCTTTTTAATATACTTGCAGAATGCCTGAAGAAAAAATAAATTTTTGCGTAAAATTTAGTATTTGTACTTTTTTTCTAATTTAAAACTTTTTAATCTTATGATATTTGATTCTTTCGATTTAAAAAACTAAAATATAAATAACATTTTAAGAAACCAAATGTAGGATAAAATTGTGTAAAGCAATGGGCACACTGATAAAACTGTTTAAAGCAGTGTATGCAAGTCATCCTAAGTTAAAATTTCGGTTATGCATCTCTCTTATTTATATATATCTTTTCTGAATGGAACATTGAAAGGCGTGTTAAGTGTGCTTTACTGTATTTTCTCTTTTAATATATGCAGTTTTCAAATGCATAGTAGTCTGTGTCACAAACTATTCTTCCGAAAGAAACGCAATTGAAATAAATAAAATGAAATTCTGGAAAATTTATATTAATAAATATATTTAAAATGCTCAGTTCGAATGAATAAATAGAAAATTTTATAATAATTATCTTACGAGACAATGCAACACTAACAATTAAAATAAAAATTTAAAAATTTAAAATTTTCCTAAAATAGTAATTTTCACTAAAAATATAGTATAAAGAAAACTATTTGAAAACAAAAATAAACGACGCGCCTTTGATTTAAACTATGCGGTTAGAATGAGCAACTAGAAACTTTTAAAACAGTTATTCGAAAGAAACTATGCAGCTTAAACAATTAAAATAAATTCCAAAAAGAAGCCTCGAGGCTTTGCCATAATTAAATAACCTAACCTAACCTTTTTTAATCATAACCAGTGTATTTCGATACGGAATCTTTTCCTCTAGACAGATGACATCTTGGCCTTCAACGAAAAATTCTGGCTAGCTTTTAGGAATTTTATAGTCAGAAAGTGTTTCTGCCAAGTGAACGAAAACTGCCAAAACCGCAAAAACGTTAAGTCGTTAATTCAAACAATGAAAACTAATAAAACTGAAGCTGGATTCTATAACCATAGAATCAAATGGAAATTTAATTGAGAAAGCGGTTTGGAGAAGAGAATTCCATGAACCTAGCTTAATCTGATTAAACTGCTAGCTTTGATTTTCTTTCTTTCTTTTTCACTTTACAGTCGGCTAAATTAGCTATTCCAGTAGTCATATTTTAAATGTTCATATAAAATAATTTTTTATGTCCATATCTTTTTAATATAATTTTAAATGTCCATATCTTTTTAATGTTCATAAATATCCATACCATCTTGCAAAGACCATATTCTTGTGGTCTTTGCAAGATGCCCTAGCTTCTGGTTAGAAATACGCAAGTTACAATTATGTGCGTAAATAACCGTAAAATATTTATTCTTTATACAAATAATCAAATAATTAAACGACTGTTTTTCTTCCTCTTTGAATAAAAAGTGTTTTTAAATATGAGTTTACCTGCCAATACTTGTTACTAATCATCTGTTATATAAAATCATTGTAAAAAAAAAAAAAAAAAAAAAAAAAAAAAAAAAAAAAAAAAAGGGGCAAATACTAATTTACCAGTGATTCCTAGAATTTATCACAATTAGGTGGTATAAATGTGAAAAATGTTTTATTTAGAGATTTTATCATATGAATTTTACTGTAAATTCCCGCTTTGTTTTATTGTGGTTCTGCTTTTTGCGCCTCATTTTCTATCTCTGGGCATTTATAAATAAAAATTATTCGCTGAATAGAGACGTTTTAAAAGTATTCTCATAGATATTGACCATTTACTGGTGATGTGTTTTAGTAAACAGATTTAGTAAAGGCCGAAAATGGAAAAGTTTAAAAGCATCTTTCCGAAATAATCTTTATTATAACTTCATGTTAGTATAAACAGACATTAAAAGAACTTTCATTTTCGTTCAGTAAATGCTAGGATTTCTCGTTTGGAAACTTTAACTATAAAAATGTCAACTCTCAGTTTTAACACACATTAAAGTTCAGTTTCTTCTGTATTATAATTGAAACTTTAATAATAATAGTAATTTTCTGCTCTCAAAGGGTTTAGGCTTTACATGCATTCTTACCTTATAAGCGGCTAGAAAACCAGTATTGTCAGCTATATATTGAGCCATAGTGTAATCTACCTGCGAAAGATATAATAGCTTCAAAATACATTCAAGATTATTTTCCCAAAAAGAACAGGAATGTACCAAAAAAACAGGAATATACTAAAAAAAACAGGAATGTACTAAAAATCAGGAACGTACAAAAAAAAAAAAAAAAAAAAGAAAAGAAAAAAAAAACAGAATGTACGAAAAAAAAACAAGAATGTACCAAAAAAAAACAGGAATGTACCCAAAAACAGGGATGTAAAAAAACAGGAATGTTTGCAAAAAGAATGTATCCACAACGGTTATGGAGAATAAACATATATTGCAAAATTTTGTATTCACTTTTACGGCGAATGCACCATAAAACAAACTTTTTACTACTGAAGCATACTCGCATTTTTGCTTAAGGCTACCTCTTCATTTACGATACCAGAATTTTTTAAGTACTTTTTAGTGCATAAATATTACATTCATTTGCACTTTTTTTTTTCCGCAATTAGGGAAAGTGAAGCAAAATGAAACCCAGCAGGTTTTTAAAGTAATATATAAATTTATAAAATATAGTTTATAAAGCAGATAATCTCAGCACTCCATTTCAGATTATGTTACTAGATCAATTAATAGGAAAAGACAGTAGCAGAGTGTTATGTTCCAATTACATAATGTTTCGGCTACGCGGGACTTGACGTCAAACGGGACAGTTCTCAGAACCCGCACATTTCCAGTAAACCCATGTAGCTAGCTTTGGACGCCAAACAGTAATCGATTATTCCTCAGACTGGCATCACATGATCCTTTAGAAGCAGAACTTTCGTCTGATTGGTTGATCTCTAACCGGGACAGAGCTCCAGCCGAGACATTTTCGGTGTGGTTTGAAAAAATACCGCGTAGCCGTTTCTGTAGCTAGGCGGGACTTCGCTTCCAACGGGGTTCTTTTTTCTAGGAATCCTCCCGTTTAGACCAGTGCTACCAAAATCTCGATTCTCAGAAAAGTCCCGTTTAACATGGACTCTCGACAGATGTGATAACCTACGTAATGTTAGGAGAATCAATAGACAACGAATGGATTCGAAACGATAAATTTATGCCCCAAGTTTAATTTTAGAAAAATCTGTAGTATAAAAAAAGAGAAAATTACCAGTACTAAATAAGTAAAACGGAAAGGAAATATTAAAATATAGTTATTTTATCTCGTGTGTTGCTCTACTCCATAAGCGATAAGTGACGGTGGACGTGGGCACTGACCCTTTGTCATAACGCTCTATCCATAAAGAAAAACGGAACTAATTCCGCAATATTTTCAAAATAAAATTTTAATTGTGTTTATATAATACTTTACTGTTTTTACCATTTATGGCCCAAGGTTAATTTTAGAAATAAAAAAGAGAAAATTGCTAGTATTAAATAAATAAAACAGAAAGGAAATACTAAAATATATTTATTTTATCTTTTTATGTTGTTCTATCCACATGTAAAAACGGAATAAAATTCAGAATATTTTCAAAATAAAATTTTAATTGTGTTCACAAATCACAAAATCACAAAATTTTTAAAAGCAGCACAGTAGCGTATGTTTGGAATTCACTATTAAGTGTTGGCATACATTTTCAGCTTTCTTTTTCAATCTTTTCTGAGTTAACATGGCTAACAAAATTTTTTTTTGCCTTTTAAGGTTCATTTTAATTTTCTAACCCACTATTTTAAGTTAAATTACTTTTCTGTAACAACTCGTTTCTTTCCCTGCCAGGATGTAAGTTTTCCACTGCGGTATATTCAAATTAGGTAGAAAAAAGAAAGTACTTAATGGTTTGGAGGGAGCGTGTTCTGCCTGCTTGAAGGACACGTTGCTAACTTTGATTATCTAACGACTAGAATTCTGCTGCGTTGAGTTATGTTTGCCATGGAGCTTGTTTACGCCGACTTCGGTCGGAACCAGCCTGCGTGCTAATTTAACTTTAAAACCCTTAATCTATATTTAAATTTCATTCATTTTAGTTTACCTTTTATATTTGATTTAAAACTGTGTTTTAAGTGTTTAAAGCTTTGATTTAAAGTGTTGGTTTCTGTAAGTATAGATTGTTGCCAGTTGTCTTTTTAAAGTTGTGGTCTAATTGCATGTTAACAAAGATCCAATATTATAGTCTTTTTATTATTTTCTTATCTGCTATCTTTATTTATTAAATTCAATATTACTCTTTTTCCACTTACGCCACATGAAATTGAATTCAATAGCAAAAAGACAAAATATAAACAACTTATCTTTAGAATTCCGGATACAGTGTTAGTAGTTGCGATACATATTTTTATATTCGCTATATTATTTCTATAGAAACTAGCTGCTCGCGCGGCCGTGGCAGCTAGCTTTTTATTACGTAAAAATGTTTCTTATGTACTTAGCAGCTAGTTTACATTATGTAAAGAATGTGTTTAATGATACGTAGAATGTGGAATAGTGCAAAATAATATTAGAAGAATTAAAATAGAAATTATATAAGAAAGATAATTCAATGTATGGAAACTTGCTTATACAGGATATTTTGAAAGAAATGAAAAGAAATTTAGAGTAATAAAGCACATAGGGGGAAAAATTTGAAAAGAAAAGGGGTAAACATAGGGGTTAAAACTAAACTTTATATCAAAAACGGTCTGAACGAAACTTTTTTTCCCTCAGGAATAAATTGAATCCCCCCCCCTCAGAAATAAAGTGAATTGTCGCCCAGACGATATAGTGGTTAGGGGAGCCTGACTAAGGACCGAAGTGTCCGGTTTCGAATCCCATAGAAGACAGGGATGTTTGTTCCCTGAGAAGACATGGATCCCGGAGAAAACATGGATCCCGGAGAAGACATGAATCCCGGAGAAGACATGGATGTTCGTTCCAGGAGAAGACATGAATCCCGGAGAAGACATGGACGTTTGTAGATGTATAGTGTCGTTGCAGCAGGGAGTTACTCTAAATATGTGGCGAGCCGAAAGTTCTCTCACGTGGATTGGTGGAAGAGGAGAGGGGTGGGAGACTAGCGATCCGCCCCTGGGATGCTCTTCCTCAAAACTGAGGGTGGAAAATAGAAAATCAACCTTTCTTCGGAGTAGGCTCTGGCAAACATTGTTCCATGTAATATGGGCAGGACAACAACAAAATAAAGTGAATTAGTTATTTATTTCTATTTTTTTTTTTTTTTTTTTTTTGTTAACCCAAAGTTGCCAAAAAGTATAGGTTCCCTTTAAACAATAACAAGTAGATTGATCTTCAAATGATCTTAAAAAATTCTTCCAAATATACATAACGCTTTTACGTCCTTTCCACCTTGAAGAAGATTAACTTTTATTTGTAGCATTTCTTTATAAAACTCTTCGTTTGTGAGCTATATCACATTATTGCCTTAAATGGTAAGCTTTGAAGAGGGCAAAGAGAAGAACAGCTATTCGAATTTTCTTACCTTTAAATTTAATCCATAGTTTTGTTTCTTGTAAGTAAAATACTGATCTTGGAAGCAACTGACTTCCGATTCAAACTTTTCTCGCAATTTTGGAGTGGTCCACCAAGTGACGTGTTTACCATCTTTATCATAGTCCTTACCTGTGACGATAATATTAGTATTAAAAATGTAGCACAGAAAAGACACCTTTCTCATTTTTCATAGCATCAACCATAGATATATATTAAACGAAGTGAATGGAAAGTATAAAGGATAATAATAAAGTATCGTAAACGATACTTTAATATTATGAAGCTTCCGATACCTTTTCCAACACTACTGAAGAGCAAACAACAAAGAGCAAAAAACTCTTTTGAACAGCTTTACTTAAATAAGCATAAAAATAAACGAGAAAATGATCTCGGATTAAATCTACAACTGTGGCGCCCAATATATTAGTTAGGTAAATCGATTAACCTGATGTGTGATGATATTTAAAAGCATGATAAAAACAGTTATCTTTCCTTAATAACAAGCATTTTAAAATATAAACCCAGAATCTGGCAGGAGTTCGGAAATAATTCTGTTTTTTCGTTGTCCAACTGGTTCCTTGCACTTGCACAACTCCCGTGCGTTTTGCTTTTTCAGGATATTTTAAACAGCAAAAACGATATAATGAAAACTGCTTATGAGAAAGGCTAATTAATTCGAAATTTGCGAATTATTTCGATAGCAATGGGCAACTACTTCAATCAACATGTCGAAATACTCGAGTACTTTTTGAAAATAACAAAAACCGAAATTCATTTAAAATAATCGATATTTGTTCGATCGACGATTTACATGATTTTGAGATAACTTTGAAAAGAAACAAGGCTAAAAATCTTAAATCGCTGGAAATTAGCGAAAAAGTAATGATAAAATCCGATTGGTAGCATAGCATTTCTTTTCTTTCTTATACTCCTGATCTCGGATCAGGTATTGTGGTTAAAAGGAAGATGGTAGCTTTTATAACTGGCTAAGGCCTTGAGCACTATATAGGTAGGTACTTTTACATTACAACTCTTTCATCGCAAATCTTTTCCTGAACACTCTAGAGGAGTGGGCTGATCCAAGGGTCTCTTACCTTTTTTTTTTTTTCTTAACCTATACCTCTCACAGAATTTCCTTATCGATAGTATTTTATTAATTTTTTATAGTATTTAATCGATATTTTTATTACCCCCATGCTACAAATACACTACACGCTTACAAACATTTGTGCCTTCTCCGGGATTCGTCCCCCGACCCAATTATATGGTAGCCGCCACCATTATTCACCACATTTTTTAGAGTGCTCACATTTTAGATCTTACAATAAAGATATGTATTTTGTGTTATTATTCTGCACCACTTGGAAAGAAACCCTTCTCTTCTTTTCTACCACCTAAACCTGGGAAGAATTCCAAGAAAAAATTTCCGAATACATTGGAAAAGATTTCCGATAAGCATACACTAGTAGTTCGGTGCGAGGTTTGAATTTCGCGAACGGGCTGGCTGCTTGGGGTTTTCTCCATGTGTAATGTGTATACGGGCCAGTTTCCCATAGAAAGTCCTCCAAGAAAGCATCCCTCATCTTAGGCAGATAGCCCTCGAGGCTTGCCATAATCACACACACACACACACACACCGATAAGCATACAAAGTTTTGCGCATTGTATCTGAGAAATTCCGCAACAACTGAAAATTGTTTTAGCAGTGCTTTTGGTTGTCTTAGCGCAAATCTAATGGGAAAAAAATTCGTTTAATATTGCTTTAAGCTTCATAAATAAAACATATTATCTTTTGAATGAATAGGATGCAGAGGATCGAATTTTGTGAACATATGTTTTGAATGAATATCATTCCAAAAGTGTTTTCTCAGATTATAAATTTTGTTGGTTATTATACATCTGGAATTTGCAAATCTGCAATGATCAGATTAACCGAGGCGTCCCTCAAATTTATTTTGACAGCTATTTCATCTTTAATTTAAAACGAGTCGACCATACACTATTTCTGTTTAAAAAATAAAAACATTTACTATTTTAAGGCTTAAAAATGACTTCTCCACAAAATATAAAATTTATTAGCAGTGTTTTTTAGCTTGATTTTATTTTCAAAATCTTTGGTATCCCATTTTCAAGTTATCTGATGATGGCTGCATCTGGAACTTCATGTTTTTGTTTTTGTTTGTATTCGCAAATGATTCAGCTCAAACTATCAATAAAATATTTTAACCGTGATAGTATTCAAATTACTTGAGAAGTAGGAGTGCATATGTGAAATATGCTCTAAGTAAATGAGTTCAAATGAGTAAATGACGACTATACAAAATTCATCCTCCTGCGGAGTTACATGAGGCTATAATCATTATTTCATAGATCCTTCCAACAGTGCGTTGAGACATATTGAGGTAGAATGCATGCGGCTTACATTTTGATAATGTTAATTTGAAGATCTAAAGAATACGGTACTATTCGGTTTCGAGGGCTATAAAAAATCGCCAAACTATTGTTGATGCCAATGCTGCCAAAAATAATTGCGGCAACCCTAATAATTGCGGCAAGAAAGGAAGTATAATAGTAAATAACTATTTAAGATTGATGTTTTAATTTAGATGAAAAGTTAATTTCATATAATACTTTTTTATCATTATATAATTTATATGAAAAAGGCTAAACATGACTGAATGGAAGCATAAGAGTAAATAACTATTTCAGATCATTATTATAATTTTATATAAAAATTGCTAAACATAACTGAATGGATGCCTGCATCGCTATTTCGCTACCGACTTATCGCTAAAGCATAATTTCATCTCGTTGGTTGTTCAAACGTAATTTTCTATAATGAATGATGCCTTTTGTTTGAAAATGTTCTCCGTAAAGTGCAGAATTGCCGCTCACTTATTTGTTTGCCGCTTTTTACAACGGTAAAAACAATTGGATTTTTGTCAATTTTCTTTTACTTTTCAAGTGAAAATAGGTCGATGATAGATAAAGTCAAGGGTGTGCGCAGTGCCATTTTTGTGCAATTCTGGAATTTTTTTTAAAGTGAAAATAGGCCGATGTGCACATGGAATTCATGCAATTCTTAAAAACGCGCCAAGCGCGTTTTTAAGAACCAAGAATACTTATTAATTCCAACTAAAAATATTTACAAGAGTTCCGTTCATCGAAAATGCCAGTAAATATACAATCACATGAATGCTAATGTAATGGTTATATAGGGTTATAAGCACATCATTTCCACTAATATCGTTTCTTAGAATGGTGTATTGGTGTATTTAATTATAGCAAAGCACACTAGGGCTATCTGCCTAAAGGGAGGGATGCCTTCGTGGAGGGCTTTCTAAGGCAAACTGACTCGTATACACGTTACACATGGGGAAAACCACGAAAACGCCCATGCAGCCAGCCCGTTCGCGGGATTCGAAACTCGAACCGAACTACCAGTGTTCAGCGACTTTACCGCTCTGCCGCTGGTGGGCCTTCTTAGAATGGACAAACGGTTTCTTGATACTTTGATACTTTGGTGGTTTTCTTGGCATTCAGCAGGATGATTCGTTCCTGCTCTTGCCAGCATCCTCAGAGAATCCCGACTGGACCTGACATATGATGAAGTCCGAAAGATGAGAGTTCTCCATACGAGGTCAAACGCTTTTATTTCCCAGAATCCTATCCTATTGTAACTACCATGTAAGTAAAACTAATGACCAAAATTCTTACTGATTTTTCAAACCGGTTGAATGCAACTGGATGAAATTGCTTGGACTAATACATAGTTTCTTTCGAATAACTGTTTTAAAAATTTCTATTTACTGATTCGAACCGCATAGTTTAAATCAAAGGCGCGTCGTTTATTATTTTTTTTCCAAAAGTTTTCTTTATACTATATTTTTAGTCATAATTACTATTTTAGGTAACTTTAAATTCTTAGACTTTTATTTTAATTGTTAGTGTTGCATTGTCTCCTCAGATAATTATTTTAAAATTTTCTATTTATTCATTCGAACTGAGCATTTTAAATATATTTATTAATATAAATTTTTCCAGAATTTGATTTTATTTATTTGAATTGCGTTTCTTTCGGAAGGATACTTTGTAACCCAGACTACTATGCATTTGAAAACTGCATATATTAAAAGAGAAATACAGTAAAGCACACTTAACACGCCTTTCAATGTTTCGTTCAGAAAAGATATATAAATAAGAGAGATATATAACCGAAATTTTAACTTAGGATGACTTGCATACACTGCTTTAAACAGTTTTATCATTGTGCCCATTTCTTTACACAATTTTATCCTACATTTGGTTTCTTAAAATGTTATTCATATTTTAGTCAAACATTTTATTTTTGAAATCGCAAGAATCACATATCATAAGATTAAAAAGTTTTAAATTTAAAAAAAAAAGTACAAATACTAAATTTTACGCAAAAATTTATTTTTTCTTCTCTTTTTCTTCAGTCATTCTGCTTCATTATTGCTCTTTTTCTTTAGGCACTCTGCAAGTATATTAAAAAGCATCCAACTTTTCGAAACAATCATTTTAAATAAAGTTATCGCCTTCCATTTCATAAAGGTCCACAAACAGCCGAGCGGTAAAATCACTGAACACTGGTAGTTGACTCCGGGATTCGAATCCCGGTAAACGGGCTGGTTGCATGGCCGTTTTCGTGGATTTTCTCATGTGTGACGTGTATGCCAGCTGGTTTCCTTTAGAAATTTCTTCACGAAGGCATCCTTCCTTTTAGGCAGATAGCCCTGCTTTGCCGTAACTTAATAATCCAATTCAATCCATTCCATCAGAGCCTTTATGTCTTTAGAGGCTAAGCATTTGGAAGGTATGAGATAAAAGGAAAGACTGGTCTCAACAAGAGGTTTTGGTTTATTAAATTATGACAAAGCACACTAGGGCTATCACGAGGGGGAAAACGTCTTTTAGGTGACATCCACATACATCACTGGATAAACTCCTGAATCTTCAAATAATTCGACTGAGAAATCATGGGATTCTCCGTTTAAGATACGATATGATGTTCTATAATGTAATTTAAATTTATACAACCATATAATCTAAAACCAGCCTCTCTTCACTTAATCTGCAATGATATTGTTTTTGCCTTTTCTGTTAAC